AAATCCCGCTGTAAATCCGATACCAAACAGCCCCTAAAAAACTTCTTCGCCTCCTTCGACGACTTATCTTCCTGTCGGATCGGAATTCACGGCAGCTCGCCCTTCTTTTGTTGGATCGGAAGTAACGACGACGACGGAGGTAGCTCGCCGTTGCGAAGGTAACCATTTTCTCCCTTTCGCGCGCTTCTTCGGCCAAATCCTGCAAATCCGCCGAACGCCCGGATTTAGTAAATCTGGGATTTACCGCAAACAGGTGGTAACGGCGGATTTATTCTGCTTTGAAATTTTTTGCCGATTCAAAATCACGCAAAATCCTGCTTCCTTCGTAAATCCTGTTGCGAAACGGTCCCTCAAGGTCTCATCTGCACAATTTATTTATAAGGCCTCTGTTTATCGGAATCGAGGGGATTCACAAATCGATTTTTTTCTAATCTGTTTGGATCTGTCCAATTCGCTAGGTACCGAAGATGTTGGAGCAGCTGCTGATCTTTACGAGAGGCGGTCTCATCCTATGGACGTGTAAAGAGCTCGGCAACGCCCTCAGGGGCTCTCCAATCGACGCACTCATCCGATCTTGCCTCCTTGAAGAGCGATCAGCTGACGCTGCCTTCAACTACGACGCACCCGGAGCCGCAGCCTACACGCTGAAGTGGACCTTCCACAACGATCTCGGCCTTGTGTTTGTCGCCGTTTACCAGCGCTCCTTTATTGGGAAAGAAGCAGGTCCAAAGTGCTGCCCAGAGAGGTGCACATCAGGGTGGTGGAAAGCAGAGGAGTGGTGGTAATAGTGATTCTGTGAATGATGAAGATGATGATGACTCAGAGAAACGGCATGGGTTAGTGAATAATGGCTCTAGTGGACACCAAAACGGGATCAAGTTACGTGCTCCTAGCACCATTAAGGGGAAGGAGAATGGACTGCCCGGTTCTGGTGCCTTTGATGTAAATAAATTACAGAAACTGCGCGCCAAAGGTGCCAAGAAGAATGCTGCCGGAGGAGCTAGTAAAGCTTCGAAGGAGGAGCCAAAGAAGAATGTAAAAAAGAACAGGGTTTGGGATGATTCACCTTCTGAGTCGAAGTTGGATTTTACTGATCCTGGTGATGAGAGAGGAGATGGTGTCTTAGAGGTTGTGGCAGCTGATCAGGGTGAAAGCATGATGGACAAGGAAGAGATTGTGAGCAGCGAAAGTGAGGATGATGATGGCGACGAATTTAAGAGTGCCAAAGCCAGTGTGAAGAAGAAGAGCTGGTTCTCATCTATGTTCCAGAGGTAATTAATCTATTTTCCATCTCTGATGGCTTTTCGGTTATGCGCTTAAGTGCTAATTCTGGTCAAAACTCCATTAAGCTTGTTAATCTTATTTTTTAAAAATTTTGTTTATGTTTAGGATTCATTTGGTAGATGATCTATGCATTTGAATTTAATGATGTTAAAGTCATTTGTTCATGACTATGCTTTATCTGATTCTATTTATTTAAAAAGTTTTACTGTTGTTTAGGAAGTCTATATCAGATTTGATAGGACATTACGCATTCTAGATCTTGGTTTAGCCTGTTAGAGATTTCGGCTTCGTTTGGGATAGCTTTGTTGCAGGTTTTTAAATTAGGTTTTTTAGTAAAAATAGGAAAATCTTTGTACCAAAAAGATGCTTTGAGAAGCAATAAGAAAGCCGTCCCAAACGAAGCCTTAATTGCTTAAATGCATTTCACGAGGTTTTTTATTTATGTTTTGCTTGCAATCTCATATTTAAGATCTTGGTGACCATGTTAGAAAAATGTGTAAGGCCTTTCTTTGATGCAAAAGAAGTAATATGTACCTGGCTATATCGCTTTGTTATCAGTGATGCGTATAAACTTTTGACCAAATAATCTAAATATTAGCCTAGTAAAAATATCATGTACATGTGAGGAAGAATTGTAAGGACAATTTGGTGAGCAACTAAACATGGGCGTGAAGGGTTGTCAATGAATACCACGAATTCATTGAGATGCACCAGTGAAGCACGAACTAGGCAAGTAGGATGTGAGCTAGCATAGTTGGTGAGCAGGTGAGCAGGTAAGCAGGACATCTATGAGTATGGCTTACAACAAACAAGAAGATTGCGCGTGTGTCCATAAGGAAGGAATTGGGATTTAGTGGAGAGGCACAACCATAGGCTTTTGGTGCGAGCATTGACTAGGGACTAGGGAGCATGAGAGGCATTGGAAGGACTTGCAATGTTTTCAGTGAGCATGGAAGAGAGGATTGTGCTTGTGGTTAGGTGCATGAGAGAGGATACATTGGGGGGAAGGGTGGTGGTGGCTAGGGTTAGTATAATCCTTTTTTGGATACCATATTAGAGGGAAAATAGCTTGATTAAATTCTCAATAGAATGGATGCCTATAGATAGACAAATACAAATGAAGACTAGAAAAGATAGTGGAATATTCTCAATTAATAGAATATATAACATAATAATCTGATTATAAATTTTCCAATTTGATGAATCTTTATGATGACTATTTTTAATAACTAAAAGTTGAGGGATTGCTTGAAGAGATACTTGATTTTTTAATTATTGCATTCCTTTTTGCTTAGGGGTTTTCAAAAATTTGGTGTTTGGTTGGATGAAAAAAAAAAAAATTCAATGTAAAAATTTTGATGTTATTGAAACTCATCTCTTAGTTTATTTTTGGTGAATTTAAAATTTGGCCTATTTCTAAATATGCTACCCATTGCCACACCCCATTACTTGCCAACTGTGATTTCTTCCCACCATTATGGATTGTTGTCATCACTCACCTCCTGCCCCTGAGGTATGCAATGCGGTCACTATCGATCATTTGGATTAGGCAGCCGACCACTATCATTGGCCGCACTGCCACCAAATTTATATTGATTCATTTTACTTAAAGTCAAATCAAAAAATAATTTTCTATATTTGTTTTTTGCCTAAGCAAACAACTTCAAAATATTTATAAAACACTATAATTTAAAGTTATTGTATTCATTTTACTTCATATTCCTTTCGTGACAAATCAAAGATCCCTTAATTAGATTATGGTATTGATATTCTCTCTCGTTGTCATCTTTCCCCAGCATTTCTGGAAATGCTGTGTTGGAGAAATCGGATCTGCAACCTGCACTGAAAGCTCTCAAGGATAGATTGATGACAAAAAACGTGGTATGCATCTTTCATAGTATAAGCTTTAAGAGGTGCTCATCAGTGACTCTACCTTATGGATTAAATTAATATAAAATTTGCAGGCTGAAGAAATAGCTGAGAAGCTCTGTGAATCTATTGCGGCTAGTCTTGAAGGAAAGAAGTTGGGATCGTTCACAAGAATTTCTTCTACTGTCCAGGTGTTTTATCCATATTCTTTTTCAGACTTTCCTTAGTTTTTGGCTTCGTTTTGATTGATTCAGAGAGAAGCCTAATGATTAATGTTTGGTAAAAATTATAGGCAGCAATGGAGGAGGCTCTGCTTCGCATTTTAACTCCAAAGCGATCCGTTGACATTCTGAGGGATGTGCATGCTGCCAAGGAACAAGGGAAACCGTATGTGATTGTTTTTGTTGGAGTCAATGGTGTTGGTAAATCCACCAACCTTGCCAAGGTTTGGCTTATCATTTCCTTATTTTACTTCCTCAGTAATTACTAATTCTAGAGGAAGCTGTTAATAAAGTTTCTTATGCCCTTCCTTCCCTCTTAAATCGATTACACCACAGGTGGCGTACTGGCTTCTGCAGCATAATATCAGTGTCATCCTTGTTTAAGTAGGGGAAATTAAGGGTTCATTTGAGACGACTTTTTTTTTATGCTTCTTAAAGCAGCTTTTTAGTATAAAAATTTTAATTTTTATACTAAAAAACTGCTTTATGAAACAGTAAGAAAGCCGTCCCAAACGAAGCCTAAGTGGTTGCCAGCTGGTTCAGTTGATAATTTTTGGAACTACTTGTCCAGATATTGGTTTCTAATCCCATCTACTTCAATAAATCCCCACCCCTCGAGTGACCTAAAAATAAAGTAGGGTAGATTAAAATTTTATGAATTCTACGTCTCATCATGGATATCCTAATAAGACTTTTTGTTCAGTTTCAAGTATACACATTTCCTTTCATTATAGTCAAGTTCAGCAAATCCAAGAAAGGCATTTTTATATGTTAGAACTTCTTTGTAGATCCCTATTTTTGAGAAAGGCTATGAAAAGGATCCAGCAATTGTTGCAAAGGAAGCCATTCAAGAGGCTAGTCGTAATAATTCAGATGTTGTTCTTGTTGATACCGCAGGCAGGATGCAGGTAGTTGTCTGTTTGACATACTTTTAAAAATCAATCAGCTCGACCATTTTTCATCCTTCACATTGACAAGTTAGAATCATTCTATGTTTCAAGATTATAAGCCGTTCATAACTTTGTAGCCTTTTATCATATTATGTTTCAGGATAATGAACCGTTGATGAGAGCACTCTCAAAACTCATAAATCTAAACAACCCAGATTTAGTTCTTTTTGTTGGAGAAGCTCTTGTAGGGAATGATGCTGTTGATCAACTTTCAAAGTTTAACCAGGTTTAATATGATGCGAGATTAAGCTTCTTCTTTCAATTTAATTGCCGAAAGGAATGATTTTATGACTTATAAATGTTATATATTTTCTTCATATTTGCAGAAATTAGCAGATTTCTCAGCAACGCCAACTGCCAGGTTGATAGATGGCATTCTGCTTACCAAGTTTGATACAATTGATGATAAGGTTCAAAATTTCTTTCTCCAATGAACTTCATACTCTGCATAATATGTTCTTTAATCTTCTGAGAGGTAAAGCCTGGGAAAACTAGGGGTGTCAATATTTGACACGACCCGAAAATCCGACCCGGACCCAACCCGGAAAATCCGGGTTGGACTTGACCCGTTTGATAAACGGGTCGGGTTCGGGTTCTCAAATTCGACTCGTTTATCAAACGGGTCGGGTTCGGGTTAACCCGGTGGGTTGACCCGCCGGGTCAACCCGTAAACCCGTTTATTTTAAAAAAAATTGAATTTTTCGTTGCCCTGCCGCTGCCCGCCTGCCCTGCCCCTACCCGAATTGACACGCCTAGGGAAAACCCAAAGCGTATGTGGTAGTGTGCACTTGCTGACATGAATTTCTTATTGTTAAGTAGGAAATTTTGCATAAGAAATTCATGCAAACCAGTCATGCACATTCACATCATCAGGAGCTATCACTGGCCTTATTATAATTGGCTTGAAAAGTAGCATCTTTGCAATATGTGCTCATACTTGTTTTTTATATGTGCTCATCTATGATACACAAATATGGACAAGGCAACACGGATACGGCACGATACTGACACGGGACACGTCAATTATTAAAAATATAGGACACGGACACGGGTTGGACACGACATTATAATTTTTATATTTTAAAATAGTGTATAAAAATTGAATAAGTATAACATTAAAAATAATTTAGAAATAATAAGTCATTTAACTAAAATTTGTACTTAAAATGATTAATATTAGGATATCGAGGGTCAGGCGTCGATGCCGTATATCAGGTTTCGAGAGAGGAGACGACAATGATGTCGAGAGTTGGGCATCGATGTTATACAATAAGTATCGGGCGTTAATGTCAAGAGGGCGTCTATCATCGATATTATGATGATGTTGGACAAAAGATGAGCTCTCAAGTTGTAGGTATAAAAATTGCTAGTATTGAGCATCAATGTCAAGACAGTGTCAAACTTTGATATTGAGATGATTTTGAAATGTTGATGTTGTAACAACATCAGACGTCGATGTTGTAACAACATCAGACGTCGATGTTGAGATGACATTGGATATTGTTGTGAAACCAAAATCACGACCAGCCAAAAAGAAATGAAAATGAGAATATTTGATGAATGTTGTATTGAGTGCGGCTGATTGATTTGGTGTTGTGGATAAGAAATTAAAAAAAATTAGTTTTTATTTTTTAAATAATTTTTTTAATACAAGGAATTATATTTATAAAAAATTTCATAAAATATTTAAGACATGTGTGTCGAACACGCGTGTCCAATTTGTATTATATGGAGGAGGTGAATGATCTATTTTGATTTATGTTTTTAAGTGTTTGTTTTTCTTCTTTGTTGCCCTAGACGAAATGTTAGGAGATCAATAAATTTTTGGCTTACTAAACTTTTTAACATTACTTTAAATACAATAAAATACCAGATGAATGAAGGGAAGTATTTTGGTTGCTACTTTTAAGAACAATAGTGATGGATAGGAGTGTGCGAATTATAGAGGAATTAAATTCATTTGTTATACATCAAAATTTTGGAAGAGAGTAATTGAGGATGGATTATGATGTGATATTAAGATTTCTCAAAAACAGTTTAGATTCATATCAGGTTGGTCTTCTATGAAAG